TTCCCCCTCGTTAGCTGTGGCCACGCAGGAAGCTCAACCAAACATCAGGAAAATATACAAGAACATTGCAATGAAATTACAGTTTGAATTGGGTCATAACTCCAATAACACGTACACTCCGAGTTCCTCCCTTTAACACACTTAAGAAGTCGGCAGTTTACTGCCCTCATATTTATTCTTAAATCTGATAAGTGCGCATAATTAAAAGCGTTACAAAAATCAGCATTTGTACTTCGGGAAGATTAAACCGCCCAGCGGGAGGCTCAATCTCTCCCGACCAGGTGCGTCTCCTGGGGCCTGTCAATGCGGAAGAGCAGCTCGGCAGGCTGGAAGTACCCCAGGTACTGCACACTGTCCGGGCTGGTGTCCTGGTGGTAGTGCCCTCCTTCTCCGTGGTGGCTGAAACAGTGGGTGTGCTCCACACGCAGATCAAACCCCTGTCACCAGAGAAAGAAAGGTCGATCAACAAGGCATTCATGTGAACAGCATTTAAAAGTCTTTCAATTTTAAATTCTTGCCCCTTCTCCTGTCAGAAGATGCCCTGCTAAAAAGTTTTTCTCCATCTCTCCTAAAAGTCTCCTTCTAGGTACTGGAAGGCTGCCATAAGGTCTTCCTGGAGCCTTCTCTTCTCCATGGTAAACCCCAGCTCTCTCAATCTGTCTTCATAGGAGAGGTGCTCCAGCCCTTTGATCATTTTCATGACCCTCCTCTGGACCCATGCCAACAGGTCCACATCTTTCTTGGGGCCTCTGGGCTGGATGCAGTGGTCCAGGTGGGGGTCTCATAAGGGAGAGAATCACATCCCTTGACCTGGCCATGCTTTGTTTGATGCGGTCCAGGAATTTTCTGGGCTACAAGAAGACACTGATGAACAGCACACATCAGTTTATTCTGGGAAGATGCACACAATTTATCTGTAAACCAAAGACTGCCCCGTCATGACACAATAAACTCACACCCTTGAACGTATTTAAGCCTACAGTATGTCTCATTTAACTCTGGAAAAATGTTTTTATATTACTTATGAATGTATTGTTATTTATAAAATAGTCATTTTCATCTATGGTTTTCTGCTTACCTTTAAATAAATAGTTTTCCTAATGATGAGCATCTTCATGGTTTTTGAAACCAGATTAGTTTTATTACTGAATTATTTGCTGTTGAATTTAGTGCTTGTGAAAGATGCTAGATAACTTTCCAGCATAAGGCTTTGCAGACTTGAATTTCCATCAGGAACAAGACACATGCTTTCATGTATTTCAACACAGCATTAGCAGAGAGAGTTCTTATGAAAGTGAACTACGTAAACACACACAGCTGAACCAGCTTCCATGCTCTTGGCATTTCTTCCAGCGTGGCCAGCAGTGAATGCAAACTGTGCTGTTGGATTTGGAATGCAAACTTGCAATTGGAACTGAACCATTAAGTTCAATCCACTATGAACAACAACTAGGTTTCAGAACAGATTGACCTAGATTCAACTCAAACAAGTCACAGAAGCGAGAAACTTCTATTTCATTACACCACCTCTGGAAGAGTCTAACACAATACTTACACACTCCTGTTCTTAAAAGGAAGATTACAGCCAAGACAAAATTCATTACAAGTCTCGGTTTAAACTCAGAAATGAACAAGGAGACTCACCGGATCTCTGGAAACTATTACCGGCTGACAAATCAGTGGAGCCTTCATTTCAAAGAATTTGAGCCAGTTATTCACATCCTCATCAGTATTCAGGGGACAGGTAGAAAATTCTGGAGGCTACAGCAAAAAAGAAAGCTTTATAAGTAAAGGAAGACACTTGCATCAAGATACTTTTTCTTTAGCAATTTTCTTTCACTTTTCCCCTTTCCACTATTCTGTTCATTTTACTTCTCAATGAAAAGAAGCTCACCAGTGCCCATCACTGTGTTTCTGCCAGAAATAGAAGTGACCAGAATATTGCTCCTTTCATAGCACAGGTAGTGGAAGAACTACTGAAGTGAAGATTCTCCTGCTCCTGGTACATTTTAGAAGCTCAGTTATTTTCAAAAGAGTCTAATGCTTCTTGTAAATATCATCTCAGTTCACATATTTCATTTCAATTCATTTTACAATAGCTCTCCAATTCTTTAGCTGCCCAAGGATTTCAAGAGATGATGGTATTAAGGCCAAGTAAAACAGCATCACTAGTTTTGTAACACCGATTTTTAATACAGTGCTTATCCTAATAGTTTATGCATACATTTAACAATAAAAAACAAAGTCAAGGCACTAAGATGTTACACCCTGATTTATACTTCTGCTTTCAGGAGGACAAAGAAAGTTACATGAATTGAGAACAACGTACCATAATGTGAATCTTTGCTTTCCCCTTCTGAATGATAAATGTACCACCCATCCCAACTGGCTTTTCTCCGTAGTGTTTCTCTAAAGTTTGTCTCAGGCAGGAAACGAAGTTAAGTTCCCCAGTTCTTCCATTGGCTTTCACTTCAATGACCTGGAAAATAAAGTTAATTGGTCACTGCTGTCTCCTGTTGCAACAGTCTGCAAAGGTCTGTAAAAGCTGTTCTGAAATTCTCTCAAGCTGATAACCCAAAATTACCTTCGGAAAATGCAATTCCCTGTGAGTGCTGCTCTTTCTAGTACCTGACCAACTCTCTTTTCCTGACATCTCTTCAGTGCTAGCTTTGCCTGTGAAGGGTGCTGGGCAGCAAGAGATTTACTCAACACATGAGACAGTGATATGAGCAACCCCTTTCTGTCTATCAGCTGGCTTCCACTGTTACCAAGAAACTCCTGGTACCAGAGAAGACTTTTCAGTTTTCATGCAATAGTCAGTTTTTGACTGCTCTGCCAACACATCTTTGTGCTGGCTGTTCAGGGGCAGCACTTCTACAAAAAGCTAGACAAGTGCCCACATCTGATTTACACAGGTACATTGCACAACCATTACCTTAAATCACTGCTAGTTTGGACTGGATTTGGGTGAATGATTTATGATGATGGAAAGGTTTTATTAAGCTAATACTTATGCCTCAAAAATTCAAATGCCTCTCGGTCTCCACCAATTCTTCCCCTTGTTCATTGGCATCAGTTCCTTATGGTTGCATGTTTCTCTCGTGGAATTACAACTTTACTATTACCACAGAAAACACATAGTAGAACATTAAATCATGAGTTTCCCTTCAGTCACAAAGCTCTACAAACAAGTCACCTTTGATCCAAGTACACACCTTACCAGGTTGGCCCTCACTGGCATAAAGATTGGCCAACAGTCCAAACTCACAGTCAGTATATTTACTGCTGTACTTCTCAAGCAGGCACCCTTTGTCTGCAGGATTTATCTGAGCAACATAGCTCCCATTTACAGCAGGCTTTTTTTCACTCTTAGTTTGAACAATAGGGATAAGCTGAGAAAAAGAACATACAAGAGTTAAGTGAGTCAATCAGAACACATAAGAGTGAGTTAAATGAACTGAATTCACTTAAACACTGTTTAAGCTTTGGACCATGAACCCAAGAAATAATCCTCTTCATCACATAGCTCTGTCTCTCAGGATTACATTTGAACTGGTAAGAAAAATGCACTAATATTGTAATGTAAATGAAAGATCCAGAAAAGAGATATTCTTTTTCTGGACAATTAAATTTAATGTCATGTGGAGATGAATGCTAGTGATAAAAAAAAATAAACAAAAAAAGGAGGAAAAAAGTATCTGAGGTCCAATTCAAGTACTGGAATTCTACGTAATACTTTGTTAGTGTACAGTAACAACCACTATAATAGTGGCCCAAATTTAATGTTGAGATGGGCTATCTCACCTGCCAATAAATCCATTAAAAGGAGATGCAAGACCAGAGGTTTATGCCTGAAATAACTCTGATTATCCAGTCTGCATAGGCAGTAGTTTTTATCTCCTGCCTCTCTTGCAGTTCACCATTTTGTATGTGGCATTTTTAAAATTTACAATGGTAAAGTCATCCGAGAGGGTGAAATATAGGGAGTATTTTAAAGGCATTTACCAGTAAGTTTGAAAAGCTTTTCTAAATCTTGGAGTTAAAACCTCTGGTCAGGTCTTTGTCAATTAGTTTCAAAAAAATCATGTTTCTTGCATGCTCCAAGGCAACCACATGCTTCCTGAAGAATTACAAGTTAAAAATTAATCTTTATTATCTCAGTAGTATGCACCTCAGTGGATGGCACTCATCTGAATTCTTTCTAATGTGTTTTATGTGCTTGTGGCATGAAAGTATTTGGGGTAAATGGGAAATACCCTGTATGACACTGCTCTATTATTATGATACTCCCATGAATTCATGGAGAACCATTGCACTTATTTACTGACCTCAGCATTTACTCCAAGAATCTTAGATGAAACAGCTCCAGCTCCAAGAATGAATGCTCCGGGCAGCTCTATGTCTTTTGCAACTGTATTTAGATCGTAAACCTGCAAAATAGAAACAACCCTTCCATCCCTGGAAGTGTCCAAGGCTAGGCTGGATGGGGCCCTAAGCAACCTGATCTAGTGGGTGACATTCCTGCCTATAGCAGGGGAGGTTGGAATTAGATGATCTTTAAGGTTCCTTCCAACCCAAGCCTTTCTATGATTCAATGATTTTAGTGTGGTGCTCTGAGCTGGAATTGTCATTCTGTTCACTGTAATCTCTGGATGCATTTAATTCACAACACCCTCATTAATATTTTGGATGATTAGGCTGAACACAGTTTCTGAACACAACAAACCATTTGGTAATAACAAATTTGGTAGATGTCCATTTGTCTTCTGACAGGTGGATTTTGCCTGTATGTTCCCCTGTCATTATACTCAAAAACTGAATTATTGTTCTTGTTGAAATTTCCATGGAAAAAATTGAAGGAAATATCATATAGAGACAGATTGAATGAAGTGTCAGCAAGAAGGCATGATATTCTTGGAAAAGGAGGGTAATGCAAATCCAGTGTTGGCCTGAAAACACAAATACAGCCAGTTTTTACAAAGAAGCGTGGCTGTCACTTGAAATTGCAGGCATGAAACAAGCCATACACGAATATGCAGACATGCCCCTTGTTCAGTAGTTCCTTCCATGGTTCCTGTCACAGATTGTATGTTTCTAAAACTAACTTGTATTTGAGAACAGAAGATGAACCATCAACCACTATACCCTATTTTTGGTACAATGTGTAAGATGTTGTCACATAGTCTATGTTTAACACACATCAGAATCAATCTCGTAAAACACTGAAAAGTTCCTTTCACAAGAGGAATCTTATAGTACCTCTTAGTTGTTAGTTTTGTTTATATTTCAACAAGATACTGCTTTTATTTTGACATTAAACCCCACAGTTACAGGAAAAACTCACTTTTTCTTTCCGTACGAGAGGTATGAGATAAGGAACACCTCCCACATCTGCTATCCTAGGCTTTCCACAGATTCCTGGAAGAATACAGCCAGTTAGCGTGGTAAAATATTTTTTCCTACTAATGCTAAATGAGCATGCAGTCTAACCCACTGGTTCCTCCAACTTCTAAATACTTAGACAAAGTGTTGCACTATTAAGAAGTCTAAGGCCTGAAATGATTCACAGTAGGATTCATTGCTATGCAACCTGTTGTAAAATTAACATTCTCTAAGCACAAAGAAATTAGTAGAGTGGGCAACACCTTCCATTTGCCAGTTCTCCACTACACAGTGGATATCTCTGTTGGGGCTCCCCTTGCAAAATTTTAGCAAAGCTGGAAGCTGTCTGAGTTTCAGGACAATTCATCCCACTTACTTGATCATGTATTTTAAGAAGGGATGAATCACCTTCTGGAAGTGTTTCTTTCACTACATTGATGCCAGAGGGAACTCAGATGAGTAGCACAGATGACATGTCTGTCTTCCAGACAGCTAATTCAAAGAAGATGATTCCCATTCAGAGTAAGATAGTTTCACTTCACTGACATACATGAATGGCAGGACTTTAAAAATTAATGGAAGCACAACACCTTAGGTTCAGATAGGGATTGGCATGGATCTAAAAAATTTCCCCATCTGGAAGAAAACAACTTAATTTTAAAACCTTTTCAGTACACTAAATAAATCTTATGAAATAAGTGGGTATTGCAGTGATAGATTAAGAAAAAAAAATTATGACAAGTACTTAGCAATGACTTGTCCTTGTTCATACTACAAAGCAAATCCAGAGATATAAAATTTAGCTTTCCTCTCATGTATATTCTTTATCTGAAAAACAATTTAAATTTTCCCAACGTCTTCAGAAGATCAAAACCAAGCAGAGTCAGGTAGAAAGAACGGGAGAAGACTTAGTGGAAGAAGGGAATGCTAGATTACCTTTAGCAGGAAATTTGAAGGGCTCCTGAGTCAGATCAGGACAGTCTACAACAGAGACTTGAGCATCGGCAAAGTTCTCTTTAAGCCCTTTCTGCAAAACTGTAATAAAGAATAATGGCAAAGTTATTGACCATGAAGAATTACCAAGAGTTTGTTTGACAAGTTTCTAACAACTATAAATATGTCTGTTTAGATTTATTTCAGCAAGATACATTACTTATGCTTACTCTAAGTAACTCCATTGACTTAATTGTCTGTAGGCACTTGTTTCATGCATCAGAGCTTCGGAGAAAAGCAAAAGTTTGTTCAGATAATTGTTGTCTGCCACATCAACTAATTTAAAGTATTTTAAAAACATTTTCATTGAAATATAATAACTGACTGCTCTTAGTAGCACTAGGAGCAACACAATATGAAGTAACATGGGTAAACTTAAATCACATTCAGCGGGGGGTTTGTTTCAAAGGGCAGATAATTATGATCACAGTCAAATATGATGCAAGAGCAAAGGAGAAAGCAAGTTTTAGATGGAGTGACAATCAGTTCTTCAAATACATTAACCAGACTGTTTGCAATAGCTTGATTATAAGCTCAAACCGTCTCTGCTGTCTGGAAATTTCTGCCGCCACAGCATACTGCCTATCATGTTCATGCTCTTGTGGAGATTTTCTGGCAAGTGCCACTGTCAGTACAAGACAGATAATGAATGGTGCTGGTGATAATGAACCAAATCTGAAATTTTGGTTTTGCTTCATATCAATGGTTTTTAGGCTCAGAACCTGCAAAGTCACTCAAACAACAGGGAGGATTAGGTGAGTGCACTATTGGGAAACAACTTCCAAACCTAAATTGAGTGTGGGATTGTCTTCACATACACTGCTTCAAATATTATGTCAAAAGGTCCAGGTTCTTTCATGCCTGGGGATCTGCTTTGACAGATTTCTCAAACTAAAGAACACAAGATCAAGTCTGTTCTCAAATCAGGCAGTTCCTTATTTGCTCAGAAGACTTTCCTGAGCCTTTGTTTCCTCCAATTAGGATTTCAGCCATACCTTACTTCTCAAGAGCAGATTTACAAAGCTGTTGACCAAAAGGGTCAGTAGAAGTACCTGGCACATTTCTAAATACATCTCAGTACCTTCTGGTAAGTGGACAAGGACGGTAAAAGGGCATTCCTCAAATTATACCCAACAGCTGAACAGCAACAAATCTCGCAGCTTACAGGAGGTCCTTGGGGGGGAAAATGGAAAATTCTGCTTTATGATGAAATTTTTCTGCTACTCTTTCAAGCTGTTCTACTGCAAGTACATGGTGTTTTCTTCAGAGCTCACAGGTCTACAGCAGCTGTGTCCTACTGCCCTAGTCTGACTGAGTGAGAAAAGCACTGAGAACCACCCAGGGTAATCCTGGGATCACACTTTCTCAATGTATGGAAACATCAAACTGACACAGATTTGGGGAAGTGGCAAGCTGAACTTGAGGGTCAACCTGAAAGACAAAAACCTTTAGTAGACCTGCTGCAGGGGAGAGACTACCTTTCTACTAGTGCAAGGAAAGAAGCTCATGAGCAACTGGGTTGGACCCTTCCAACTTCAACCATTCTGTTACTCTGAGCACATTTTGGGAAGGCTTTGGAAAGAAACAAACTAAAGATGTTTCCTGCAGCCCTGTTCTAAGGCAATCACCAAAAGAGGAGCCAACTATGTTCAAGCGAGAGGATCTGCCATGCTACACTGCATCTTGCCTGCTGTGTTTTGAGTAGTCCTGAAAAATAAAGAAATACTGGAGGGTAGAGGAGGGCAGATGATCCTGTATCCGTAGAGAAGTTTGCTCTGCAGTTGTCAAAATTTCACAACCCGTGCACGAATTTGCAAATGCAGCAAACAGTTTTAAAGGGTTTGAGAGCCTGTCTGTGTGCTTAAATATCATGGGGGCTTGGGGGAGGAGTCATTGTTCGCGCTACGAAAATCATAACATATAGAAAAATAATGATGTTCTTTACATCTCAGTGTGTTAAGAGCAGGAATTCTCCATGTACTGCCTGTAGAAAGGTTTTGGTATGAGCTTTAATGTAAGTTTGAAGAGTACATTATAAGTTTGTAAAAAGGTACACATTGCATAACTTACCCCCAGCAAGCTCCTCCAGACTTGGAACGTGAAAAGCAAACCTTTCGACTTTGGCCATTTCTTAACTGGTGCTGATTTCTTGAGGTAAGAAATTACAGTGCAGCACACTGTAGGAGCAACTGATCTGCCAGCAAGGATAATAGTTTAACAATTAAAACAGTCTCCTTTCAATATGGGAATTATTTTTCAATTTCACTCAAGAATGCAAAGACAACAGTAGAACTGTAGTTCTGCCATCAGGAAAGACTAATGGCTTCAATAGTAACATTAAGGATTTATAGATTTTGAAAGACATGTCTGTCAGACCTATAGCTGGCTCAGAACATTACACATGCTAGTCCTCAAGCTTGCAATTGGGTGTAGGCAACACATCCTATGCTGAATTCAGTTCAAGGGACAGGTCAGGAGATCTGTGTGTCCTTTGTAAGCCTGGAATCACAATTTGGTTTTGAAAGAAAACTGGGCTTTTCTGACACATTAGCTGCCTCCTCAGGCCTTCCCAACCTTAATATTTACTTTGCCAGCATTGGCTACAGTGGACTTTCAACCCCAGCTATGATATAGTCTCCAATTGATTCTGGGCATGCGTTTTCCCTTCCAGGGGGAAAAGGCAAGAATCAAAATAGAAAACAACAGCAACAAGTTCTGTGGTATGAGCCTCTGTATGGGTACTGAGCTTGTAACAAAAAGTTTTGTTTGAACATAAGTTTAAGAATGCTTTCACAAATGAACTGTACTTCAGTCAGCCTTGCAACAGCAAAGTGAGTAACTAGGGCAAACCACCAGCTGAGGGCAGAAACAGCTGATTGTACACTACCTAAAAATCAGCTATAGCAATTATTAACTCCTTAGGCACATGCTTGTTGTGCACAGCAAAAAAAAAACCCAAAACAACAAAATGAATCCCACTTATCCAGATGTCAGGTGTTGGAGGAAAATGCCAAAATCCTAACTACATTCCCAGACATGGCAGAACCTTTGTTAGGAAGGACTACAGTGTGAGCTAGCTGTTTATGTATAGTTCTAGCTTCTATTTTTAAAAAATCCCACCTTTTATGACTGTCAAAAATTTTAACTGTCCTTATACAATCAGCCTCTTAAGCCTGCATAAAGGAAAAAAAATAAGACAGTGGGGGAAAAAAGAAATAAGAAGAGTGGGGAGATTATAGGAGTCACCCAACTGAAGTCTTTGAGATCAACGTTCAGCCACCCCAAATTACTGCTGTAGCAAGCAGTAGAGAAGAAAGACTGCAACCTGTAGTTGGTCTTATCCATATCCACGGGTGACTCCCTCCCTCCTCAGGCTGCAAAGGAGAAAGTAACAGAGGAGAAACAAAGTAACAAAGGAGAAAGGCGGGATTTGGTGTCTCTGGTAAAAGCCTACCAGATGGAGGGAATCACAGCCCAAGGAGCAAATCACAGCCCAAGGCTTTTAGCGTGCACCAAGAAAGGGAGTAATTAGCCAGAGAAAGAAAGTGACAAGATGGCTTTGGCAGCATTGTTTTAGATGATTCTCATCCCCTCAGGAACCTCTTGCCACATCTAGAAGGAGGCTGTGCCAGCACTCAACACACTGGTTGCCCTGAGACTGAGAAGACAACCTAGAACTGTTGTTGTGCAAAAGGCAGAGGTAAGACTTGGACACAATTCAAATAAATAGGCTTGGATATAACACCTAGACCATCACCTGCTGTGTAATGGACAGTAGTGAGCTCCCTGCAATCAAGAAAGGAGGGAAAGACTGTGAAAAAGCTTGATGTACCGTAGTCAAACCCGATCTGATTGCTAGAAAGTAGTCCTTACCACGAAAGACACAAAAGGCTAGATCCGTGAGCCAGCACTGCAAGCATTCACAGGGGAGTGAATTGTGTGGTGTAGGACAGGGTGAACCTGAAAGGAGACAACAGCAGACAATTAAGATCCATCACAGAGGGGTGCACTGTCACTGAATTGCTACAGAAGACTTTCAAAGAAAGTGCAACAAGAACGGAGAGAATAAGCATGTAAAGACTGAAAGTTTACATTTGAAGCAGGAAGAAAGCATCAGAGAGAGTAGTTAAGTGTCTGGAGACTGCGGATGGAATGTGAACCATTATATTAATGATGGGGGGGGGGTCTGTCATCAAAACCTGAATTAAAACTAGTTTGGAGGGTTGAAGCCAAAAGGGAGATGCTATAGGCAGGCTAGAGAAGAGTCAGGGAGGGGGATTGGTGGGGGCAGAAAGAGAAAAAATTGAAGATGGCAGTCAGTGAGAGAGGAGAAACTCAGCATGACACCAAGAGAAGCAAAACATCTATAGATGCAGAGGCCGTATTGCTCGGCTGGAGCGATGCGAGGAGACCCCGTACGGGACAGAGGAAGGCTGCGGGACAGCAGAGGGCTGCTTGAGCGGCTGGGATTTGGGGAAGGGACGGGACACGGCGGGACAGGAACAGGCGTGGAAGGCGAGGCTGGGGTCCTTAGGGAAGGAGAGCATCCCGGCAGGCAAAGGCAGCGAGGAGCTCTGGAGCGAGGAAGCACCAAAGCTGGCAGCACGCTTGGCACGGTTGCGAGAGGAAGTAAAGGGTTGCTCAGGCTGGAGCCGCCAGCTCGGAGAAGCCTGGAGAGAAACCCGACAGCAGTAACGACAGCCCCTCACCGAGCGGGAAGCCGGGACGTCCCGGGCGAGGCGGGTGGAGGGACCCGGGAACTGCCCGATCCCTGCTCCGCAGAGACCGCACGTACCTGCACCAGCGTCCGGGCTCGGCTGGCTCGCTCGCCTCAGCTCGTCCCGCCCCGGTCCGGGGACCGCCCACCCTGCTGCCATCCCTGCCATCCCTGGCATTCCTCCCTTGGCCCCTCCTTCGCTTTCCTTCCCTTCCCTCCTCCCTCCCGTCGGCCCGCGCGCCTCTCGCGAGCTCCCGGCGCTATTTAAGCCGCGGGGCGGCCATTTTGCGCTCTTTGCGGTGGGGCGGCGGCGGAGCTGGAGGTGGGTTGGGGTGCGGCGCATCCGCCGCCATCCGCGGTGCGGGGACCCGGGCACCGAGGGAACCGGGGGCGGGTCACAGTCCCGGCGGTGTTGAGCCGTCCCCCGAGAACTGGGGCGTGTGGCGGTAGTGTGCGAGGGGCCACGGGGTGTCCTCGGCCGTGGCGACCTGGTGGGGGCCCGCATTCAAAATGCCTTCCCGTAGCCCCGGCCCTGGCGCGATGCCGGCGGCCGAGCCTGGCACCTTTCAGCCTGAGGTTCTTCTGGGAGGAGATACTGTGACTCTGTGAAACAGTCAGTAAGTTTAGATGTTGGTTGTTTTTCTCCCTAGGGGCTCTGCGTGCTCTGCTAGCCGTCCAGACGGAGCTGCAGGAGAGGCCGCAAAGGATGCTGAGCTGCGATCTGTGAGTACCAGCCACAACTTGTGTGGTCAGAGTGACATTGCTGCCTGTGTCCTGGCTCTGGTATTGGGCTGATCTGTCTCTTTATTGTGTTTGTCAGGTCTTGATTGAACCCCTGTTAGCAGTGTGCCCTCATAAGGCATAGTGTGGCTGAGGCATAGGTGCAGGTTGTTGTCCAAAATTACCTTTCATAGCATTAAAGAGTCGTTTAAGTTTGAAAAGGTGTTTAAAATCATCTAGGCATTAACCTAGTATTGACGAGTCCAGCACAAAACCATAGTTTCAAAGCACTGGATTTACACATGTACATTTACACCATTCCACTTAGGGGATGGTGACTCAGCCACTTCCCCGGGTAGCCTGTTCCAATGATATAAACCTCCCCAGTGCAACCTGATGCCATTTTCTCTTGTCCTGTCATTTGTAACTACTTAAGAGACCAACCCCCACCTGGCTGCAGCCTCCTTTCAGGCAGTTGTAGAGAGTGAGAAGGTCCCCCCGAGCCTCCTGTTCTCCAGGCTAACATCCCCAGCTCCTTCAGCTGCTCCTCATAAGACTTGTGCTTCAGATCCTTCAGCTCTGTTGCCCTTCTCTGGACACACACAGCATCTCAGTGTCTGTCTTGCAGTGAGGGGCACAGTACTGCACACAGGATTCAAGGTGCAGCTTCACCAGTGCCAAATACTGTGAGACAATCACTGCCCTGGTCCTGCTGGCTACGCTGTTGCTGATACAGGCCAGGATGCCATTGGCCACCTGGTCACACTGCTGGCTCATGTTCAGCTGCTGTTGACCAGCACCCCCAGGTCCTTTTCTGTGGGGCAGTTTTCCAGCACTTCTTGGGGTGGTTGTGACCCAAAATAAGGACCCAGCACTTGGCCTTGTTAAACCTCATACAGTTGGCCTCAGCCCATAGATGGCAGCCTGTCTAGATCCTTTGGAAATCCTTCTTGCCCAACTTGGTGTCATCTGCAAACGGACTGAGGGTGCACTTGATCCCCAGTCTTGAGCCTTGGGAAACTCCACTGGTGACAAAAAGAGCTGTAAAAATTCTTTCTGACCTAAATGCTATGAATATCCTGAAATAAGTGGCTGTGACTTAACTGTTACTCTTGAAGTTTAATCTATTTGCTCCTGGTTCATAGGAAAATCTTTGTTGAAGTTTGCTCAGCATTGGTCTTTTAAGTTTATCCTGTGAGACTGGAGTAGTGGAAAGCTTGTTACCTCATTAACATATAATTTTCTTTATCTTCTTTAACTCTCATTGATTTTTAGGGCAAACTGAAATATGACTGATCGAGATGAGCCTCAGGCTTCTGGCTCTGATTACCATGGTGCCCAAGATCTGATACATGGTCATCAGGAGCCATCCAAGGAGTATGCATGGCAGACAAATACAAGAAAGGAGTGTTCACGCTCAAGGCAGAAGAATGCTGCTCCTGGGGAGTCTTCGAATCATCTTAACAGTATATGTGAATCATCAACTGCTTCAGCTGAGGTTTTACTTATCAGCAGCGATTCAGAAATGTGAGTTTTTACCTCTAGTTTAGAATTTTTTACTGTGAAGAACCTGTGTCAGATATCATAGAAGCAATCATTCTTTTGAAAGTAAATACTCTTTTCTTCTTCAGTGATGTCTCTGTTGCTCCTGGCAGTGAGTGCCATCCTGGGTGCTCCATTGCACCATCAAAGCAAAAAAGGAGGTGTCAGTCTTCAAGGCAACAAGCTGAATCTGTTGCAGAAGTGCCTGACAATGAAAGCTCGTCAGATTCTTCTCTGTCTCCCCAAAGTCCAATGAAATCATCGGAAGTTTCCAAGCAGCAGAAGTCAAAACTCAATTTGAAAGCCATTTTTGCCTATCACTTCAGGGGAAAGAAGTTTAAAGCTGCCGCACACCGAAAATACAAAGCTGGCTCAGGGAAGAAAAGGAAGAAAAAGAAAAAATGTGAGGGCACAAGGATGCCCACAGGGAGACCACCACTGACAGCCTCACCTCAGGAGCAAAAGAGGAGGCTACTGGACAGAGGTTTTCAGTTCCCTTTTGTCGAAAAACATTATGGGGAGAAACATATTCCCTTAAAGATGGTTCTTGGCTATGAGGTAAGTCTTCTGATTTGTGAGATAAGTATTACTATTTTAGTAAGTTGACTGTGTTGTGCTTCTACCTGATGTGCTTGAATAGAACAATTAAAAAACCAGATTTTATTTCTATTAAACAGGACGTCTGATGTTGTCTTAATACCCTTTAAGGCAAACAGAGAAAGAACATATATCAGTGTCATTGTAATATTACAAATTCAGTTCATAATATAAATGCTTTAAGTGGTGTTTATAAGATCTTACCTGATAAATTTTTGTTTTCAGCAAGCAGCTGCAAAGGGATATTTCAAGTACATTGAAGTGCTTAAATATGAAGAACATCTTAAAAAAGCTTTAAAAGCCCTTCAGGCTGGTGAAGACTTAGAAAAAGAATGTGTGGTATTACGGAAACACAAATACCTAGATGATGAAGGCCCCATTTCTCCTATTCAGGAGACAGAGTAAGTTGATCTTTATATTTTTAGATGTTATAAGACTTATTTTTAACTAAAATGTAAATATGTGTGTACAGGTAGGTGCATGACACCCCACACTGCCCTCAACCAGTTTGCTGGTATGGGTGGGGTTTCAACACTTGGTCACAAATCCAAAAACACATGGCACAGGGTGCTGTGAAGAGAGAGCTGACTGACTCCAGACAGTACAGTCTGCCACTCTTCACAGTTAGGAATTCAGGAGGTAGTACAGTTGCTTGTAGTAGCGTGTGATTTTTGTGTGATTTTAGGGAGTCCTTTCTATCTTCAGAGAAAATCTGTGGATGAGAGTGGAATTAAGTTCATGACTGGTGTTTCATGGCACTATGGAGAAACTTCAGTTACAATATTGGGAAGAAAGCTGTGTATCCTTATTAGCTGAGACTTATCCTCTTATGTTCTTGCTTGTGATTATATTCTACTTCCTTTCCAACTTGCTGGCTTTCTAGCCTGTTTGGCAGTGTAATCCAAATTATCTTGATACTGCTGTTGATATCTGCTACTAAATCTTTGTTCTGCTCCTAAGCACTCCTTCTGTCCTGCTAGTGTTATTTGTTAGGATGTCATTCTGCTGTCAAAAACTATCATTTGAGAATGACCTTATGTAGAAGTATCTTTAACCTACAAGCTGTAGCACTTTAAAAGACACTAAGAGAAAACAGGGCTTGTAGTAGGAAAATAGTTTACACATTTTGAGCTACTATAAAAGTACGGAGTTTGATTTGAATTTTTTATATTTCAGTGATGATGAGGACAGCTTGAATTCTGATAATAAAGAGCAATATGATGCCAGAATAGTGGTAAGTAATACTTCAGAAAATCTCTAACCTTTTTCTGCTAAACGTAAGGAATTAGTAGATAATAATGTTTTCAGTACTTAGTTCTTGAGCTTAGATCCAGAGTTAACAGTGTGATACCCGTGAATCTCGATCTGTAATGGAGAAGGAGGTTATTTTGAGAGTCCACACTCTCTTAAATAACATGCTGAAATGTGTAGGAATTCTGCAGTTCTCTCAAGAGTTACTGAAGTTTGCAAATTTACTATTTACTTGTATTTTAAGAATCTCAAAACCCAACTTGTCTTTCATTTTCTTAGGAGAACAGCTCTTTCATTATAAGCAGCACAATTCCCAGTAAGAAAAAATCAAAGCCAGAAACAAAACGTGCAAAATCAACTGAAGTGATTGAAATAGAGGATGACGAAGACAGTGCAGAGGAGAACTCCTTGCCTGTGCAAGGTTCACCTCTGTGAACAGCAGATGGGACAAATGAGGTGTCAGTGGTCGTTTTTCATGGCCTGCTTCGTTTAAAGCATTGGTCTGAAGTCAATCTTGAGCTATCCACCGAGCTACCCAGTCACATCTGGTGTAATGTGAGTATATTGGGCTTGTGTCTGACGCAGTTACAAAGCAAGTGTAATCTGTTGCTCTGTTAAGCTTTTAAGTGTGTTCTGTGCTATTCTCTATCAGGAATATAATATCCTTGGTTCAATGGCTGATAATCTTGCTGAAGTTCTGGCTTCTGCAGCTTGACCTCTGTTAACCAGTGGATCGTAGAATTTATGTAATTAAACAGGCAAACAAGGTCCAAATACCGTAACATAGCAGCAGCACAGTATAGAATAGTATGCAGTTGCATGCATACACCTGTATGCTCAAGTTAAAAGGGCAGTTTAAATGCCTTTCTTCAGTTTTCATAGCTGACTTCTTTGTGAATGGCCTGTGGCTTAGAGGTGAAGATTTAAAATACTTAGAGTTGAGAGGCTGAAGACAGAATTGAAGCTTAATGCAAATAAGTACCAACAACAAAAATGCAGAAGTGGTTGGTCAACTTCAACAGAAGTCTATTGCAAAATATGGTTAATGCATTCAAATAATCATAAAATCAATTTTGTATGATTGAGGTTGTCTATTCCATGTGGAATAACTTTTCAGAAAACTAATTCTCTGCTCCTGAATCTAATACAATAATGTGAATTTGTAAGTTATCTTAAAAATAACTGTAGCAGTATAGTGAATCTTGGGTTAAAAATTCTTTTTCCCCTCTTGCCCTCTGCTATCCAGAATGGGTTCTGATGTGAACATGAGTTAGCAGAAGATAAAAGCTCTTCATAATGACAGTTCTTAACAGGCATTGCCCCAGCAGAAAATAACTTTCTCTAAGGGGTTTTAGTCAGCAGGAAACCTGACCAGTAAGTGTTTAGAAATGGTCTGAATACAGCCAAGTCCTTCTGTGTGTCATGGAAGCTGAAAATATAAAAAAAAAAGTTTCCTTGTCAATAAACAAGATTTAGAGACCAAACAGTCATCTGCCTGCCTCAGATGCTCTTAACCAAATTGCTGTCAGCAACTAACAGCTGTTCAGCAGGTAGAAGTAGTCTGTGCTGAACAAGGATGTTGTCCAGGAAAGGTTTTATCTACTGGTTTAATGGCAGTCTGAGGTGATTGGCAGTAGGTGCTCAGTATTGAGAGCAAGTCAAGCTGCATTATTTACATGCTTGAACTAAGGTACCAAACCTTAGTGAATGAAGTTTCCCAATTACAACTTGGTGGTTCTAGGACTGAAAAATTACTCTTCAGTATTTGAAGATCACATTTAATAATAGTCCATAATTAATGGCCAGGTGTAACTCCTTTAGGCGTCTACCTGAGAAATACTCAATAGCTTGAAAGACTCAATTCTGGATGTAGGAGTGGGGTTCTTGCTTAGTAAGGCATAGTGAAGGGGGTATGCGGAGTCCTGCTCATTCTGCAGTTCATGTGATGAATTTTGTTGTTCAACTGCTGAGTGACTCAGAAATGAACTAAATTTTAATTCTGATTAGAACTGGATAAGTACAGGTGCAAATCAACTTATTACAACTGTTGCATTGATTGCTGAAACCTAGCTTTGACTTGACTTGACCGTATATGACAGTTCTTATTACTTTGCTTTTTCTTCTAGTTTATATTGCTTTTGGAGGATGAAATACCACTCAGTTTTCTTGCTGCACGAGGTAAGCTGTTGGTTTCAGTTTTGTTTCCTTCAGGTAGCTTTTTTTGCTGTACTTCACAAGAGGTTTTGAAAAAACAGTGCTCTATACTTGAAGTGGATGTATTACAGTGCTTCACAGCTGCGCAGCTTTTGTGTGTGAAGGTTCCAAGGTCTAGAGTTCAGTCCCACATCTCTTTCACCTGACCATAATTAGCCTGTAGCCTCTTTGAATGAAAACAAAAACTTGAGTTCTTGAATATCTGTAAAGCGCAGTTTTTGTTAGAAGTTTTATATTGAAATACTTTGTTTTTACCTGATGTTGCGTGCTGCAGGGCAACTTTGTCTGGTTTGGACAATACTACCTGGGATTTTCTCTGCTGAAGATGTTGAGGAACTACTGTACACTTAGTCTCATCGTGGTGCCTCACACACACTTTCTGTACCAGGGCGTATCATACAGTTGCAGCTTCTGATGGCTTCCCTGTGGTAAAATTCCATCTTAAATCATGTCCCATGCAAGAACAGTAGGGACAGCAGAGAGGAGCTGGTAGTCTTGCATGTACATAGCTGTGAAAGCTTCTTACTGTAGGATGTTATCAAGTTTGTGTGGCTTCAGGACAGTGTAGGAAATAGCATGGAAGAAAGCACCATGTAAGGTTACTGCATAGGAAAACACCTGTAACATGGGAAGCGCTGAGCTAAAGGTAATGAAACCTTACAAGAACATTCTTTAGTAAGAGGATAAAGAGGATAGGAACAGGGTGTCTTATTTGGCCAGTGATGTAGCTAGGAGTACTGCACTGTTTAACACAGCATAGATTGTTCTTAGGATGGCATGTCTGATGCTGAACTCCTTGCCACAGTTACTTTTTGGTTTAACCTACCTGTCTCTAGAATGAGAAAACACAATAGTAGTGGAAGATGACAGTTTTTAACAGTAACTACAGTGAACTGGGAAATAGCTTCAAATGCTGTTTCAAAGATAGTAAAAGATGAATGCATTCAGTCTGTTCTAGCACTTGATCAGGTTTTGTCTGTTTCTGTAGACAAAAACCTGGAACCTAGTGCTTAGAAAAAACCCTTCTTTTGCAACCCACAGCTGATGAACATATTAGTTGTGTTACTTATATGAAGGGACAATATTTGCATGAACTCCACTGATCAATCTCAGGCATGAGTTTAATGTACCAGATTTGTAGAAGTGTAGGTAGCTCAGTTGTATCTCTTTCTTTGCAGATGAGAACACCAATGCTGCAGCAGTGGGCAGATTTAATTTTTTGGGGAGCATTTGATTTATTATGGCTGTTTGCTGGCCCGCTGATTCACAAATCTGACAGTTCAGTGAATTTCTGTTCAACATGGGAGTGAAGGAGGTAAGCTTTGAATTTCATTTGAGCTTCATCATATGAGTATTGAACTTCTTCAGACATGCTGTTTCCACAGCAAGTTAATCACACTAATTTGTGCACTGTATGGTATCTGCACCCAGCAGTGTCTTCCTGATGGAGTGTTCAAAAAGCAGTGCTACAGTATTTCAACAGCTGGCATCGTTGGTTTTCATGCAGATGTGCTTGTAAAACTTGGTATTTCTGTTGAAACAAGTAGGTTTAGTGTTTCCAAACTGGGAGGCTTGTCAAATACATTCAAAAACTGTTAAACTGTTACGGGATTAACGTATAGTTAAATAAGTGACCTTTTTCCAAACTATTTCTTCTTTAAGGGGCATTCTTGTGATGTCTGGAATGCAGTAGAAGGCCTCTACTTAAGTGTAAGTATTAAGGAAATAGTTGGCTTTTTCCTTGGTGGAGGTAGTTGGACGAGGATCATAAAAGCTCAAGTCTTAGGTTTTTTGCTGTCTTTTTCTGAAGAAAAAAAAAGAGGCATTTTATTTTGAGACATAAATCCAAGTAGCAGGTGACCACTAAACAGGTTTCTTTCGAAGTTAACTGGCTAGGCTTAAGAAACAGTCTATTCCACAGCCATTGTGGAGTTGCTATGCCTCGTTCTTCAGCAAATAGGCACAACCTGCTGTGTGTCTGAATTGAAAAACGTGGCTAGAAGAGTGACAGGTTATGCTTTCCTCACTGTAAAGTTAATTGCAGTGGTGACAATGAGACCTGTAACAGTTTACTTAGTGGGACAGTTCTGCAAACATACTTAATGCAGCTACTGTAAAATCTAATAATTTGCTTGTTTCGATGTGCTTGAATTGTGCATCCTACCTACTAAAGGAAGTAGAATTAGCAGGTAGAGGAAAAATACTTGCAGTGAAGAATTCTTGTACGTGGTTTATTAGAACGTATTTTTAAGATGTCTTAAAATGGTGTTTGTGTTTTCTTTGTGAGGTAACTCCCTTAGTTGTACCTTCTGTGCCATAGTGCTCCAGTTTCTTAAATTGCAGATAGACCTTGTTGGTAGTTGTGTGGTATACTGGCTTTGATTTCAACTGAAATGCTTTGTTTTGTCATTAGCATTCAGGCAGTGTAACAGGACCACAGTCTACCTGCTTCATATTGAGTATAAGAGTACTCAAGTCCTAATAAATTACTGAAATACTGAAGAATCTTGGCCATATTGATCAGATGCAACAATTTACTTTGTTTTAGGAAGTCCATGTGATAGTCCAGTCTGAACTACTGTCTTGGTAAGTGTGTGTGACTGGTTTTTAACACTTGCCTGTTGCAGGTCAGCTGCCTGTCTTTCACTTGGTAAGCTGGTCGTAGTGCTGTTCTTTTCTTGCTGAGAAAATGCAGTGTCTTAGAAAATATGAGTTTATCTAACCCCAAACTTGAGAATGCTGTGAGAAAATTGTTGTGATGATTGGCAAAATGTTCAACTGCTCTGAAGAGAGTGAGTGAGAATGGCCTTTCTGAACAAATTACTACATGAATGTCCTCTTCACGTCACTTTATTTTTACATGAAAATGTCTTGTCTCAGTGAGGAAAGATCATGACTTTGACTTTGTTTTAAAAATAAACAGGAAATTAAAAGGAGCTGTCAAATAGCACAATATTCAGACACTATAGTTGCTTGAAATGTGATTCCAAATAGAGACTCTCAGTAATGCTTGTGGTAGTTAAAACCACTTAAGTACTAAGTGCTGTTGTAGGTTCTGCTGATTTGTAGGAACATCAATTTGGTTTGTAACATTACTTTGCTTTTTCAGGAGGCATGTATTTAGAGAAAATAACAGAAGAAATGCAGGATGCCATTTCACAGCAATCCGAAGCTATGTCTAGGGTTAGTATGACATTTGAAGTTTTGCATATACCTTAATGACTGAAGGACTCTGGTGGCTGGAAGTCCTATCAAACCTAGTTTACTGTTTTGTGAGGGTTTCATGAACTGGTTTCAACACTGCATTACTGTAGCATTCACTCTGTTAGGGGAACAATTTATTGTAACTTTGATTTGCCTAAAAAGCATTCATACAAATTTCTCATTCAGAAAGGAGGTGATCAGGTTAACTGCTTAAACTGACAGTTTTGCTTGGACAAGTGAGTTGCACTTTACAGTAAATTTATAGGGAGGATTCTGTACATATTTGTAGTTAACTGCCTTTGATGTTTGCTTTTCAGGTAACTAACTATTACTGTTAAAACTGTTGCTAATATGAAGGAGCTACTTCATCTTCTCCAGGTGCCAGCTGTTGAAATCATTTACTCTCCTTCTTCCCCAAAATATCTTGAAATGACTTAAAAAAGACACTCAGCGGGATACATAGCAGATACATTTCCAATCTGCTTGATTTTTATCTGTCATGTTAATATATAGTACAGGGAATGCTGAGGTCTATCCCGATAGGATCTTCTCTGTAGGTTCGTGTCGTTGGAAACGCCTCACAGAATAAACTTGTGGTTTCGCTTTACCCATTGAACTACCTGTTAGCTCTGTGGGATAAAACTGCAAGACATCTTCATGTAGCATCCTAGGAACTGTAATAATGCACCGTGTTCTCCTTTAGGTGTACTGTGACATGCTTTGATAGAAATGAAAAAAATTATTCAAGTGGAAAAGCTTGGTAAGAGTCAAAATACAGAGTGTTTTGGGACTTCAGGTGCAACTAACATACTAAATTACACAGGCTGAACTTATTCTTCACCTAGGTTTTAGTGTAGATACCTGACTTTTAACACTATTTTTTGCTGCCTGAGTGTTCTGGATGGCTTGAAACAGTCAATTCCCCCTTCAGTCATGGAGTAATTATTCTTGTGGTGGCTGTAGGCAAGAAGAGACAGCACTGTGGTGACTGTCTTGAAGTAACTTACTGCGTTTGTTTTGTGTCAAGAGATGCTCCACAGTTTCACACTGAGCAGCTGCTGTTCAGGTGAAAGGGGCATGAGGTGAAATTCATGGAGTCTGTTTTCCCTCTCCAGTTGCATGGCAGCTTTTGTGAAATGACAAGTACCTCTTATTCCCAGACACTAGCTGGTGCATGGGAGAAGGCTGAATGTTAAAATGAGCTGTTCATGGATGGAGAACTGCAGCTGTTTCCCTGTATGGCACTTCAGCCCAGCTGCATTCTCCTGATGGGGTGTGCAAAAAGCTGTGCTACAGCAGTGCAGTGTTTGGCATCACTGGTTTTCGTTCAGCTGTGTCTGTTAAACCTGGTATTTTTTCTGAAACAGTCTTTGACCTCTTCAGTGATTTGAGTGTACTTGCTTTCTATTTTCATGTTCCAGTGTGAGAGCTGAGTATTGGCCTCTGGAACTCAGCAAGTGCATTCAGTTTCTTCTTTCTAACAGGTGCTTTAGGATACTGAACAAAGTGAACCTTCCTGTATTAAAAAGATGAGCTGTGGAAGATAAAAGCAACCTGTTTTATAGGTAAGCAGTGAGTTACTACTCTCACACTACACAGTTTGTGTGCTAAATTAGTATGATTCTAGGACATTTAAATTTAAGTAAACTGTTTTAGAAAGAAGTATAAAAAATGGTTGTCTAGTACCAGAGATTACTGGATGGTGATCACTCCAGATTTTGGCAGTATCTGAGCAGGTCACTCGTCTGTGAGTCATTCTTGTGTGTGTATGTAATGGCTGTCACAGTTGTGCAGTGGTTTGTATACTAGTGTCTTAGACTGCTCTTGGTTGTGAGGAATCAAGTACATCTCCTCTGTACTTAAAAATTTTAAAAGATTTTAGGCTTGTTGGTACACAACTTGGCTTTAATGTTGGCAGGATTAATTGGTCCATCACTGGAAAGGATGGGCAGAGTGAAGTCCTAGTACGGGCAGTGAGAGGAGTGTCTGGTCATTACCAAGGCTGCTGGGATGTTACTGTTTCTGGTGAGCTGTGGACATGACCGTAAAGCAAGTCCATCAGACTCTTGTATTGCCATATGATGTGGCACCAAGGCTGCTGGGAATAAAGCTTCAATGTAGGTCACAGACACAATGTTCCCTTTGCTGTTAGGAGGAAGTTGCTGCTGAGGTGTAGGTATGTGGTTGCTATCCTTGGGTGCCTCCGAAGTTCCAGCTGGAACCTTTGTAGATTGGACTCCACAGCTACTCTTGAGAAGGTAGTGCTTTTGAACAGAAGCAAAAAAGGGAGACCAGGGCTGCTCCATGCAATTTATATCCAACTTGTGTGTTGTTAACTCTTCCCTTACACTAACCAAACCTGACTCTTTAACTTCCAGTGTCTGCTACCAAGTTGCTGCATGTCAGAGGGATGAGAAACTCTACCTGAGTGCTACCAAAGTGAGTGTGAAGGTAAGAGCACGTAACAAAATGGTTGGTACTATAAAGAGATTCAAGGTCACTTCAAAGAGGGTTTGCATGGCTGAAAAACCAGCAGCTCTTAACGCGGTGACCGCAAATTGAAATCCTCTGCAGGATGCCGTGGACACGTAGTGTGTGCTATGGTCTATTTATGAGGAGATACACCTTATGTCCTTAAGCCTTTTGAGGGGAAAAAGGATGTTAATCTTCTGCCCTTGGGTTTTTGTGATGCTGATGTAGAGGAAAGGCTGCTCAGTTTCATTCTGAAACCAGCTGACATTTGTAGCACAGAAAGTTAAAGCTGGAGAACAAAAGGGTTGTGGTATGAGCAGTCTGGTAGCCCAGTTGCTGCTTGTGTGTCGAAAGGAGGACAACTGAGCTGGTGAAGGGTCTAGCACACAAGTTCATTTTGGAGCAGCTGAGGGAGCTGGAGATGTTGAGGCTGGAGAAGAAGTGGTTCAGGGAGGACCTTCTTGCTCTTACTTGTAGTGTGGTGGGGGTCAGTCTGCCAATTAAGAAGCTGTGGGATGAGAAAAAATGACCTCAAGTTGTGCCAGGGACATTTAGATTGGATGGTAGGAAAATGGCTTTTTTTTGGAGTAAAAGTGCTAATAGATTTTTTTTTCTCTCTCAGGCTCTGGTGATACTGCTGAAAGTCTGCTGCAGTGAGCTACACAGCTGTTCCAAATGGAGAAAGATCTTACCTAAAGTGTTAATTGCAGTTATTTGGCATTAAAAGTAGTGCATATTGTAACTTGCCTCTTGTCCTCCTGTGAGATATGAAGGTGCCTGTGTGCGATGTTAGAGAAGACCAAGCTGAGTATATTGTGTTGTAATTTGACTGAAAATAACTTGATCAGGTGTTTTCCCTAACTTCCCTGTCACTGAATTCTCACTGTACTGAAGCCCTGGATAGGTATTTATTCTGTACAGAATGTCACAGCATTTAAATAAAACTGTCTCTGAGCTGCAGCCTGGGATTATTTCCTGTTGCTACACTGTGGCTTTCAAAGAAGGGTGAGAAAATCCTCACAGCTGATCTCCTGAGCCTTGGTCTCTTCCCTTCTGATCATATTCTCAGAAAGGAGCTAGAATATTGCAGAACTGCCCTGGTGAAGCTGAGACCATATACCTGCTGTACTGCTCATTATTTGCACTGCAAACAGCCTCCACTGACCTCCGTGGCATAACAAACTGATTCTGGTTTAGGCTTTTTACTTATGCAGGAGGTAACAATTGTTTTGCTACTCCAGTACATGCAACTGCACCAGACTCTAAGAAATCAGTGAAAGGACCTGTACAGTGTAATTAATTGTACATCTAAAGTAAGCTAAGCTTTCTGGTGGAACAGGTCCAGAGGAGTCCATGAGAGTAACTGGATGGGAGCATCTCTCCTGTTAAAACAGGCTGAGAGAATTGGGGTTCAGCCTGGAGAACAGAAGTCTCCAGGGAGACCTTTATACCACCTTCATCATTGCCAGGATGACCTTTAAAGGTCCCAACCCCACCTATTCTGTGATTTACTGGTATGTTTTAACCCTCATCAGATTGAATGAAACATCTCTGCTATTGCACTTGCTGATAACCAAGTTCAAATTTTAAAGCACAATTTTTGCTATAATTTGCCCTGGTGCTTTAACTACTTAGCTATGAATTGGAGTTCATCAAACATGGACAGAAAAATATGGAAGTAGCAACAGTAAGATTTTTATTCTCAAGTGCTTGAAAGACATACTGCATGTGTACAGGAACCCACACTTCGTAAATCATAGTGCAAAGAACTGATAAAAACTCCAGCTTTACAGAAATGTCTTGCCTCAAAATAATTCAAGTCATCTTTAAAACGCAACTTTATTTGAAAATGTTTTATACATTTATATTACAAAAGTTAGTATCTCCCTTTAAAAGATAAATGCATATCAAGAAAGACCTTTCATTCCTGTCTACTCTGAGACAAACCATGTTGAAAGCAGCAGGCCATCTGCTTCTGTAGTGATTTCCCTAAACAGGAGGGTAGTACAGGGGTTTTGGGTTAATCACTGTTTTCCTACAACTTAAAGCTGAGGATTCCTAATGGCTTTGCAATTAAACATTGTCTGGGTTGTACCAATATCATAGCGAGGCTTTTGCTCCAAGTCTGCTGCCTGTCACAGTGCTTTCCAAGACTTCTTGGCTCGTAGTTTTTCCAGCATTTTCTGCAAATAAAACAAACCATGAGACTAGTGCAGCTTAAGCAACTACACTAAAAACCAGCAGAGCTAGAGGGGCACAACTGAGGTACTGCCCCATCTGTTTGACCTGAACATCAGTAATAGACAGTGATGAGTTCAGTGACTGCCCGGGCTTCAAAAAGGCCACAGATTGCAGGGTGGGAGAGAAGGTGTGCTTATTTATTTTATGTTAATTATGGAATCTGTAAAGCAATGCAACGAGAGCACCAATTTATTCCACCAAAAAGAAGTTGGGGTGGTCAGTGCTAAAGGCAGGATTTGGGCCTGGAGCCCCCTGGAATAGTCACAGCCTCTCAGGATCATCAAGCATTTCCTTCCTTCCAGTTGTCCAAGGCCCAGCAAGAGAACAGGGAATTAATGACTCCAGTCCTCTAGTTCAAGCCCTCTTCTACAGCAACTGGAGGAAAACCCAGACAAGATTCTTGCAACCTGAAGTTTAGGCATGCTCAGAATGTTACCCTAACCTCAAGCAGCCAAAGCAGTCCAAAACCCACCAAACCTAATTCAGTCTAGTTTGAACTACTGAAAACCCTGCCATTCTTTCGCCATGTAGATTTTCTAACAGCTGGAGCCTTTTTGCTCAAGCTCAAGCTCAAATCACCAGAAAAATTCAGCCTGAGGCAGCCCTGCATTTTAGATGAAGTTTCAGCTTAGTCACAGTGTTGACAAGGAAATTCTTATGTGGATGTACCAATGCCATCACTTAAAATCCAGACTGGTTGGATGGTTTCCATTTCACCTGCACTCAAACTATGCTTCAGTGACTGATTAGAAGCTCAATGAAGTCATGAGACTCACCAGCCAGGAGGACAGTGTAACAAACTATTACCTTTTGAAACTCTTTAGCTTTTTCTCTGTTTTTAGCGTAAGTTTCTTGCCTGGTTTTTTCTTCCTTTCTGATTTTTACTTCTTCAAGTTGATTATAAAGTCTGTGGGAACAGTAGGAAGAAAATTGAGTCCTGGCAGAAAGGAAGTGGCAAAGCTGGAGTAAGTTAACAAGCTTAAGGGTTTACACTGGCTCACTTGCTAGCAATTAGGAAAATTTGACACATCTCTCCAGTAATCTAGAATCACTTCAAATTCTTCAGCTGTATCAAACAAACCCCCCTCCACGTTCAGGAGCTGCACTTGGTTCATGTTACTGCTCATAAGTGCCCACGTGCGACTGTGAACTTTGCTTCAAATTTTATCTAGTGTCAGGCATTAAGTGGCACAGCAGCCTCAGGCTGGTGAAACCAGCAGGCTGACCTTGTGTTCCTCACTGCCACCCATGCAAGGGCCTTTCCCAGCAGGTACCTGGATCAAACACTCTTGGCTCCTCTCTCCCAACTGTTCTGTGTTAAGCAGCACTGGGTTCAACTGGAAGATCACAAACTGTTATGTCTGACCAAGAGCTTTCATAAGACACAGATTAACTACTTCTGTTGGTTTTAGTTCAAACTTCTCCCACTTGTGTTCATGCATTACCTGGATGTACGCTGGTGCATTTCAATTTCTCCGGCCTTCCTGTCCTCTGGAGAAGATACTCTCACTTCTCCTACTTTTTTCAACTGACTGGCAACTGCACCATTTTTTCCTAGGGAGAAAAAAAAATAAAAAGCCAAACATTTCTTAAATTTAACTCTCTAGTTTAGCTAACTCAAAAGCATGACAGGTTTTCAAAGATTTTTAAATGACATGACAAAAAAAGAAACAAGCTAGCAGAATGGACACAATGGAGATGATGTCTTGTGTTAAAATAAATCCTCACAGTCTCACTCGTTAGGCTGCTGCCTGTGCTTTAAGCCAGCCATGGCTCTCAACAGCCGACCTCCAAGTCCCCAGTAACAGGCATTAGAGATGCACCAGTTCAAGTAATGTGGTTGTTCTTTGATAAACAGCCATTGCTTGCAAAGATACCTATAACAACAAACGTGGGCTGATTGTGAAAGACCACCCATAAAAGCCTTTACAACACTGCACTGAAGAGGCAGCAGGGCAGTGGAGGGGGGGAAGCTCTCTCCATCCCCAAGAAAACAAAGAATATCCCAGTTTGCAATAGCAAACACATAACAAATATAAACTCTGTTCTTTGATATACAACAGCAATTAAAAGGGTACCTAATGGTGTATCTTGTCCCCAGACAAACCTACCAGAGAGAAGACAAAACTCCTTTTGTCTGCTTCTTGACTCCTTAGACTTTCCTCCTCGAAGCTTTCTGGCCTCCGGCTTTTCATTTTCTCTCTCTCTCTTTTTTATTTCTTCTACTCTTTTCAGAGATTCCTGGATGAAGTTCTGCTTTCTTTTTAAAAAGGATTTTTGCAAACTTCCAGATGTAGTTGCAAACTCCAGCAGCATCACTGTGAAGGAAAGTCTCAACATTTCTCACTATTAACAACGAGCAGTAAGTCATGCATTTCAATGTACTTCTCCTAATATACTGAAGTTGACCACTTTTGTAAATGGCACTAGGAGAATTGCATTGTGAGTGATGAGGTATCTTGCAAAACAGGCAGCAATTCAGACCTATGAAATCCAGTCATGGTCAGCAGGTCTGCTGAGACAAATACTGCATCAAAAGCATCTCGACCTAATAAGTCCCTAACACAGTTAAGTTCTGTCAACTCCTGTCTTTCATGTTACTGTGGTTCACTTTAGACAAAAAATATTTCAGTATTTTACTGCTGTTCCACATTGTTATCAGAATAGAGAAAAAACAAACAAAAAAAACATTCTTTGGCTACAGGGCTTGGGAGACTAACAGGAAATGAGAAATAAGTGAATGTGCAACTGTGAAAACAAATCACAAAACAACACAGAATTTTTCAAAGTTAAGCTGTTACAATACAAAAACAAGTGTAGTGTAGAACTTTCATAACTTGGGACAGGACGAGACAAGCAATATGACACACACTAAACCTGGGTCAAACGTACAACAAACCAAGCATGAACAGCAAGATGCATTTGCCTAAGTAAAAGCAGCTCTAAAAAATTTTCCAGATGAGAGGTGTATTTTACTGATTATTTTAATAATAAAAAAATTTACTATCTCTATCTCAGCTTCAGTATATTTAAGTTACACATAATTACCTGCAGTCCGATGTGACGGACAGTGACTGTTGTTGGGACTCTGGGCTTTGGGAGAGCTGTCAGGCCTTGTGAATGCCGAATAATCTGCATCTGGAGCTAGTGGTAAAAGTTCTCTCTCCTGTTTCAAAAGGAATCAGTGGCTGGAAATGCTTAAAATACACTGCCAATTTGAGTGGAGCAGTACTACTGTACCACTAGCTTAGACCCAATGCAAATAAAATACATTCTTTTGCCCTTAGAGCAGATGCAAAGAAAAATCACAAATGGATCTTTGTAATAATTATGAAAAATCTACTTTCTAAAAACATTTTAAAACTTAAAAAAAAAAAATCCATTGAAGACTTTTTTGCCCACCAGATTCAATTGGTTGTTCTTAATACAGGGCAGCATAATTCCATCTGCTTTCATTTCCTACTGTTCTCTCTAGTTCTCTCCCATTACTCTCACCCCACTTGACTCTTTCCCTCTTTGTCAGTGGCGGGTGACACCCACTGCAGCAGTACAGCCTCCAGCTGTCAACCTTCACTTCTCCCTCGTATCAATTTATAAAGACCCATCCTTGGACACTTTTAGGATCTTCTGTAGATGCCTCCTGCAATTAAAGCATGATTTCATCTAACTGACACAGATTACTTGGTTCTACATTATTGCTTCATCACCCAAATTATTGT